AGTGGAAATAGATCGATAGATACTGCTTCCCAAGAACAATTCGCCAATATCTTGCCCCGTCGTCGTCACACAATCAGACCCGTTGAAAACAAGACCGTACGCTTCACAATAAGGCTGGTTGAGTCGTAAATGACCCTCGACGAGATTGAGGCCGGCATGATGACGAGGAAGAGAAGGATGATTTGATTGAAAGAAAACTTGTTCGGGCAAGAGAGCTAATAATTTCTTGGCGAGATTTACGGCTACACATTTTCCATTTCGATATTCCGTGTCCATACTCTGCTGCGTGTTGGAATATAAACGTCGCAGGCGGGTTGGCAAGCTAAACTGAAACCCGTTCCGAGTCGAATCCATCGCGGTTCATCTTCCGGGAAACACGATTCTAAATTTTCTTGAAAGGGAAGCAGGCCATCATGTCATACTAACAAAGGCAAACTTTTGCACACTAAAGGCCCCGTTGAATCTTTCTCTTCTAACTGTTGAATATTATGTCAGCCTAATAAAAAATGATCTATGATAGTGAAAGCAAATACCAACTGCCATTCACTGTGCAATTTTGCCATATCAGCTGCATATTCACCTCTCAATAATTATTTATGTATGATCTGAGGCCTAAGGATTTGCAAGAACAACAATGAGAATGACAGAAATTCAAATTAAAGAAGTAGAAATGAGATAACTTATTAGATGTTGCAATTATGTGTATTCTTATTGAAACTAGAGGTTTCTTTTAAAGAAATAATATTGTGATAGTAGTAGTTTATCCATGATTACTTTTCATTTGTTATATTCCTACTGTGACTGTGTCCTTTGGAAATTAAATTATTCGTTTAATTTTTTCCCTCTCAATTTTCGGAAGATAAAATTAGTAAAAATAAGTGGGAATATGGCATCAAGAGCATTAGATATCCCCATTTTCTTGAAGCTGTTCACTATTATTGTTTCATCAATGATAGGCCATGCACCCAAAATCCCCTAGCAAATCAGTAAGATGAAAACGACCACTATGCGGACGAAAAAATTTAGGGTAACTCGTTTTGTGAGCGCCTTAAGGAAGACAAACATTACCTAAATCATTAAAACATATTCAGAATCCTGTGCTAAAAGAAAGCTAGGGGGGAAATGTTGTCCGAGTCCCAGTGATTCATTTGGACGAATATGTAATATTGTTTTAGAAATTTAAGGTAATAAATACAATATTTTTCGAATGCTAGAACAGTTCGAGAAATTTATTCAAGTTATGAATTCTGAATATAAGTATACTGTATATTATATTTAATAACTATGGTGGCTTCATTTATGAAAAGATTTGCATATTGGCTGTTTTTGTACAATGAACCTTCTCTAAGCAAGCTATACGTGATACGTGATTCCTGAAGATTTTGATCTTCAATGATAGTGGGCATCCTAGAGAAGTTATGTTTACTAATTAGTTATTTTATGAGGAATGCTGGTTAAATTTAAAAAGTGATTGACTGAGGTAGCTTGTCGTAATGAGACGGTTCACTGTAATCCAATTTTTTAAAGAATTTAAGCTGTTCTTAATTACTTAAGATATTATAAAGAAATATGATTAAAAGTGTTATATAAGCACATGTTTTAAAACATCTATTAAAATAATTTTTATAAGCTTTTTAAGAGCATGATTATGATTTTAAAAAAAAATGTTTTTTTCTTTATTTAGGAGACATGGTTTACAAAAGAGGGAAAAACCATTCATTTTTTCCAAGCAGTCGAAACGAATTTTATGAAATGTTATATTGTGTTATTTTTATTATTATTTTTAATTAATTCTTTTTTCAGGATTTTATGTAAAGTTTATGAATTAAGTAATAAATTATTTTTACTTCTGTATTTTAATTAGCATATTATTTGCTTCATAATGTTTCACAATAAAATTATAAATTCAATAAACTTCTTAATTAACATGCTGTATATATATATATAGGGCATAAAGTTGTTTTCTGGTGTCACATGTATATTTCACAATTTGTATGCATCTCGAACTTTATAAAATAAGGGAATACTCTGATAGCCCTTAAAGTAATTTCTCGCCAATTTTTAAAATACGCGCTATATTGCTATCTAAATTTTTTGTCTACATTTCGAACATTAAGCCTAAAATGTCTCCAAAACACGATTTTCGCGAATGCAAAAACCGTTTGAATACCAATTTAAGCTAAAAATCTGAAACAAAAACAAAACATTTAGATAGCAAAACCGTAAAGTTTCTACCAAAATTATGACAAAAATTTGACAAGAGTCCATGTACACAGCGATATGTTTTAACTTAAAAAAAATCTACGAATGACACAATCTAGGCAACGAACGAATCTACGAACTACGCACACCTCGCTTTAATAAATTAACATAACAACAATAAATTTCAAAGAATATCATGTACACAGCAATCCTGTTTAAACTTAAAAAAACATCTACGAGTTGCACATTTAGGCACAAACGATCTACGATTACGCACACCTCACTTTAGTAAATTACATAACAACAATAATTTTAAAGAATACCATGTACACAGCGTCCTGTTTCACCTAAAACATCTACGAATTGCACAATTTAGGCAACAAACGAATTTACGCACTACGTACACCTCACTTTAATAATTAACACACAACAAAAATTTCAAAGAATACCATGTATATAGCGTTTGTTCCACTTAAAAACATCACGAATGTACAATTACGATACGCACTAATCAACAAAATAACTAAAATCAATTAAAATTAAAAAAAGACAAAAGACAAGTGCAAGTGAGGACTGACCACCACCCCTTTACTATTAAGTTAATTAGCATAGTGTCACGCCCGCCCTTATCTTGAGTATGACCCGTGATGCCTCATGGGTGGCTCGCACCGTGCGCCCAAACCCAACGCCTGGACCGTCCGGTTGGCAGTTCTACGAATCTAATGCACCGGGTTGACGCTCATTCTTACTGCCCAGGTCCAGTATTCATTGAATAACCAACATGGTCGAACATAGTACATGGCCGAACTGGGCTGAAATATATTTGCTTGTAACATACAATTTCCGAATTGGTGCATGCCTGTGTACAGATATTACAGATTACATACCTGTGTGTGTACACCTTACATTTTTGTACATAATACATTTCGATGCTTGTTAACAGTCACATGCTTATGAGAGTACAAATTACATAATACATTTAGATACTTGTAGCTGACACATGAATATGATATTACAAATTACAATTAAATACATGACACGTTGGTATGCTTGTTACAGACAAATGGGCATGAGAAATGCTTTTGTTGGCTGTCAGTGTGCTAGCATGTGCATAGTTTTACCCGGAGTTATGCTGCTGAATATCTGAGATTATTACTTAATTTTTTTTTTCCGGTGATTGATACCTTGAGGTATCGCTCTCAGTGTAGGCGAATATTGTCTTTGCTGGGTGCGTTTTGCACAGACCATTTCATGTTAGATATTCATTAATGGGTTACACTTGGCATATTTCAGTGCCCATGTCCATTAGCTTTTTATGATCTTTACTTGCTGTGATAGAGTTGTGCTTAATTAGGAACCTTCTAAAGGCCTGCTCGTTGTTCTGCGGGTACGGAAAGTGCATTCCTTCTGTAAGCGGGCACTGATACAAATAGTGTTCTGCTGTGCCCAATTCACCGCAGCTGCATTGTTCTGAGTTTGATATTCCAAATCTCGCAAAGTAAGCAGGAAAGGGCCCATGCCCTGTAATATATAGTATACCATTTGCGGCCGTGTCATTATGAATTCAGAGTCTACTTTGGGCAGCAGTGCATGGGCTCGGCGGCCGGTGTCCGCATTGTCCCACGCCGTCTGCCATAGTAAGTGAGCTGCATCTCTCAATTTCCGTTTGAGGTAGGACACTGGCTGCGGTATTTCTATCTGTGCGGCCTCCATGTTCTGGGCGGCTTCCTTAGCTAATCTATCAGCTGTCTCATTGCCGGAGTTTCCGACATGAGCTCTCGTCCATTCCAATGTTATTCTCATTTCTTGGTTTCGACGTAAGTTTTCCTGTATACCCTCTATGATTGGGGAGCTGTGGGCGGGATTGAGGACAGCATGCAGGGTTGACTGACTGTCCGTAATGACACGACTGCAGGGGCGTTCCCGATGTATAATATCTTGTATTGCGTTACTGATGGCAGTGGCCTCGCTTTGGAATACGCTGTTCTGCGCTGTTAGGTGCCCCTTCCATAGATTGACAATATTATCGCCTTGGAATGCCACATATGCGCAGCCGACCCTTTCATCGATCTTGGAGCCGTCTGTATAGTAAGTATATGCGGCTTTAGCGGATCTTAGATTCTGCCGAAAGTTGACGTGTACTCCAGTGCCATGCTGCGCGGGATGCGTGTCAAGGCGATTGAGGGACTGCTCTATTTCGTCTGCCGTAAATGTTTCCTCACCGTATTGTACTACCTGCCCCAGCTGTCTGATGGATTGATATACTGCTTCCTTCTCAACACTAATGTGTAGAGGTAGCAGGCCTGCCAGGACTGTCAGCGCATTGGTTGGCGGCGTTCTAAAAGCCCTCGTTATGTTTAACAGGAATGGCCTTTGAAGGCTCTGCAGGTGCTTCACCTTTCTGCCTTGCATCGGTAAGGCCCAGACAGCTGCACCATACGTCACGATCTTTTCTGTGACAGTTGAGTATAATATCTTAAGTATGTGAGCGTTGATTCCCCAACGATAACCCTTCATCATTTTTAAGCTGCTGTGCTATGCTGGCGGTGCGTTTTTTTAACGAGAGCACATGTGGCATCCAGTTGAGCTTATCATCAAATATAATTCCTAGATATTTTAGTTCTCGCTTGATGGCGAGACGCTGGCCGTTGAGCGTGATACGTGGCTGTCGCGCAAGTGTGCCTCCCTTTTTCGGTATTAATAACACCTGTGATTTTTCTTCCGCTATCTGCAGTTTGAGTTCGGCACACCTCGCTTGGAAAAGGTCGCATGATTCTTTCTTGACAATTACGTTGTAACTGTTCTCTCGTGTGGCCCTGTACCAATAATGCCGTGTCATCAGCATATGCTATGATTTTTGTATGGCTTGGCCACTGCTCTGTTAAGATGCTATTAAACGTCAGATTCCATAAGAAGGGTCCCGCGCAGGATCCCTGCGGGCACCCTCTTGTCTGCTTTTTGTGCAGGAAAACCTTTGTTATGCGCGGCAGGATTAGCTGTCGTTCCGAGAGGTAATTTTCTAATGTCCGATAGATGTTGCGCGGACAGCGTGATTTCCTTAGGGCTCTCAGAATTGCCGGCCACCACAGCGTATCAAAGGCGCTTTTTAGGTCGACTGAGATAAACGCAGTGTGGTGTCCGGATAGCCTATTTTGCACAATGGTCTCTTTTACCTTCATAAGAGCATGAATGGTAGATTTGCCCGTGCGGAACCCATATTGGTTCGCGCTCAGGTAATTACTGATGTGGAGGTGGTGCCTAAGCCTATTCATTAATAGTTTTTCATATGTTTTTCCTAATGCCGAGAGTAGACATATCGGTCTGTAGGCATTAGCCTGCTTCGGATCCTTGTTCTTTTTTAGGAAGAAGATGACCTGGCCAATTTTGAAGCACCTGGGGAACGTGCCAGTATTCAGCAGCTTGTTAAACAGATCTTTGAACAAGGTGATGTTGGTTCTCACTATAATGATACGGTAGTCTACCCCGTCCGGCCCAGGTGCTTTCTTTTGCGGCAGGCATCTTAGTACTTGTAATATCTCTTGGCTTGTAAAGTTGACATCCTCTGCCGTGTTTACCTCCGTGGTGTCTTGTCTGATTGTCTGGTGAGCCAATGTATCCTCTGAGGGATCGTCCTTTGCAAAAACTGTGCTAATGATTTCTGCTAACGTGGCTTCCGTTGGTTGTTCCGTGTGATCAGAGACAGGTAGAAGATGGAAAGAAGCTGGTTTGAAAAGTTTGCTAGTGGCAATTTTATGATGAATGCCGTAAACTTCTGTGTTGTCTGTGCAAAATCTTCTCCAGCTGTCTAGCTTGGCTTGCACGATCATGCGTTTGTACCGTGCTCTCTCTCGCTGGAAAGTAATGAGCGTGTTAGATTGTATATTGTTACGGCGCTCCTGTTTTAAACGTCGTCTGAGGGCGCGACATTTTTGCTGCTGCTCTCTGAGATTTCTATTCCACCAGCTGAGACCCGTGACCTTTTTAGTCTTCCGGATTGGCAACAGCTCGTTGCATACTGCCCTTATTGTGGACATCAGGTTGCTTGTGATGTCGTGGAGTTCTTCAGTTGTTGTTACCTGTGCTATCATTTCATTGTAGGGGGCAATTCGTGGTTTATTGCTGATATAAACGGTCTCACCTTGCTGCCTGGTAGATTGTATCTTTTGATGATTGTTGTGGCTGTATCACTGGCTATTGAGAATCTTATATAGTTATGGTCCGAGAGGCTTATGTCTACTACTGTCCAGTCATGTATCATTTGCGCAATCTGCAGTGTAGCGACTGTGAGATCGGGCCATCCCCTAGAGTGGATGCGATCGAAGGTAGGTGCCGCGTCTTGATTGTTGACCACACTCAGATTACTGCTTGACAAAAAGTCTTCTAGCATTCTCCCTTTTGGATCTGTACTGGCATATCCCCAGGTGGAGCTATGCGCATTAAAGTCTCCAGCGCATAATATGTTGAGGGACGTGTGTCGCTGCAGTAGCTGTTGCATCTGCTGAATAGGTGTCTCTAGGTCTGCTGACGGTGGTGAGTAGAGAGATATCAGGATGACCGTTAAATTTTGCACCTCCAGGAGTACTGCGACAAAGTCTCGTTCCACCGTAATGATAACCGGCGTCCAAGCTGGGTTACAATTGATGATAATTGCTCGGGGTGGTTCATTTTTATCTACTTTTTGATATACCGTTCATTGGAGAGGGTATCCAACTGCTTTTCCTTTTAGGCAGTAGGGTTCCTGAGCGAAGATCATGTCAACCCCTTCTGTTGCCGCGTAGTTGGCCGCTTGCGCCGTAGCTGCCTTGGCGTGCTGCAAGTTAATTTGGAGACACCTTATGGGCGTTTGTGTAGTGATATTGTCTGCATTAGTGTCAGTTTGTTGATGTGGGCAGTTATCGTTTTCACTGTTTGACAATGCTGGTGTGACTGTGGGCTGTGGCCTGTTCGATTGTGTGTTGGTGCTGCCTGATTGATTCTCTTCAGTATTCAGTAGCGCTTCTGACTTTATCGACTTCTCGTTGGTGGATTGCACATTCCGTTGCATATGCGGGGTGGTGGAAGTTAAACCTGGTACCCAGCTTACAGTTTGCGTCTCCGCAATTAATACAGGATGGTTGTTCAGCTCTACAGTCTCTAGTTGCATGTCTGCCTGAGCAGAATCCGCAGAAAATCTTTGTGGATCTACAGTTAGCCTGGCTATGGCCAAACTGCTAGCAGCGGTAGCATCTCCGTATTCCCAGGAATTCTGAGATGCCATGCGCCTGCCAGGCAGTGAATATTCTTCTGGTCTTGATAGCAGTTGTAAATCCCTCGGGGGAGCACTCAATGATCCACTTGACTTTTTGTGGGCGTCGCTCGCGCAGACGGAAGAGTGCCTTATAGTGCTTGTGGGATGTACCAGTAGTTGCGCTAAGCTCTGAGATGAGCTCTTCGGGCTTGGTATTCTCTCCGACATTATGTACCGCTATTCTTGGTTGGCGGCGCTTCTTCTTTTGTAGTTCAAGATCTATATCTACTCTCTGTAGATGCTCTTGTAGTTTTTCTACTTCCTCCGGGGTGTCGCAGTAGACTTCTAGACCTCCCTGCGGCACAGGCTGTATGCTCTTCACTGCTACCGGAATCTGATCGAGCGGAGCCTTGTCTTGCAAGACTTTCCGTAATTCACCTGTAGGCCTTTTGGTCTTTGGTTTTATGATTAGGCTTGGCTTACAGTTCTTTCTTAATATCTCTGCGAAGCTAGGTGCTGTATTCACTGCTGGTTGTTGAGGCACCTGGTCACCTGTTGGCGGTTGCGCGGAAGGCGGTGAATTATGTACGACACCACAGCAAACAAATGTAGAGGTGTTTGATCCGACCTCTGCTACTGGTGGTTTCGGTCGATATTCCGGTCCCTCTAAAGCAAGGCCTTGTAGAGCAGACAGTGAGTTCTTCAGTCTGTCCCGGAGTTCTAGGGGGAGTAGGTACCTACCGCTTCGGTGAGTGTCTGTGATGTTGCGAATTTCCACAACTAGGGCTTCTATCCGTTCCTGTGTCGTTAGGTTTGGTTCCAGTGTTTTCTCTGTATTCAGTGACGTATTGTTGCTGACTTCTTCAGAGAGTGCTGACGAGCGCGTCATCTCAAGATGATTAATTTGTATGCACTATACTGCTGATGCTAAAACAAGCAGTTGTTGTCCCTATTATTGCTAAAAATTACTTGCTATGGCAGTAGAACTTGATGCTTTGTACACTACCCACCGTAATGTGCGATGTTATTCACTGTGGGTTACACTGATTCTTGAGAATTATGCTCAATTTATTAGTGCTAATTCTTGAGCGCTATGCACTATTGACTTCACTATTCTTGAACACTACGCACTGTTGTTATACCTGCATTTAAAATTCAGGGCACGGGGAACCTGTTGTTTCAAATATAGCGTGCAAATTATAATTGGTACTTGGAGTTGCACAAAATATGACTTTTCACTATTGACGCAAGGATCACTATGCACTAATATTGCTCACTACTTGATCTAATTTGTTGCACTAGAACGCAATTTTGCACCATGATATTAAAAGCACTATGCACTATTCCTTCAGGCCTGTGTACGGTACTATGCACTGTGATACTAGATACTAAATATTACTTCTCGGGCACTATGCACTAGTATAACACTGATATGCACTAGTATAGCTCTATGCACTAGTATAACACTGATATTACACTATACAGAACACTTGCACATTTACTTAATTATAGCACGAATTGCAAAGTAGATAATAATGATATTTTGCATAAGGAAAAATACTCTTCTTTACACTGATATTACACTATGCAGAACATTGATATTACACTACGCAGGGCACTTTACACAGCTCTATGCACTAGTATAACACTGAAATTACACTGTGCAGAACACTTGCACATTTACTTAATTTGTGGCACTGATTGCAAGGAAGAAGATAATGATATTTTCTATAGGCGAAAATACTCTTCTTTACACTGATATTACACTATGCAGAACACTGATATTGCACTATGCAGAACACTTGAGCATTTAATTAATTATGGTACTGAATGCAAAGTAGAAAATAATGATATTTTGTATAGGCAAAAATACTCTTCAATACGTACATAAAATTATTACAAAAGAAAAGGTATGTAATTATTACAGTAATACCAAGAGCAAACGTTAATTAATGAGAAGACTGTTAATTATCTAAAGCTTCGCTTATAGGATTTGTGAAAATTACACACTTCTTTTATGCTATTATAAATAGAATTATGCAATACAAAATAGTTGTAACTACTTGATATGTCAGTAAATAGGAAACCGTAGTAAATGCGTAATTAGCAGTGTTAATTAAACAGTTAGCATTAAACAAGTTTAGAGCTGGCTAGCTATTTAGATAAAATTAAAATGCATTAAATTTTAAGATAAAGTGAAGTATTAAACGTCCTATTTTATATCATAACCAAGGTGATATTGCCACCTTTAGGTATGTTACACAAATCAGTCTCGAAGAAATGTTTTCTACCA